CGAGAGCTCCTTTATGTTGTCTGGTTAAACCTCTGCCAAAGGGGTGATTTTTAAGGGCAGCAGCTGGTAGGAGATGAAATCAGAGAGGTGATGGGGGAGAGAGATCGTGCAGGGCCTTGTAGGCCATGCTGAGGGTTTGGGATTTTATTCTGAGTGAGGTCGGAGCCATTGGAGGATTTTAAATAATGGGGAGGGGCCGGGCATGGTGGCTCACACCCATAATTCTAGCACTCTGGGAGGCTGAGGCGGGAAGATCACTTGAGGCCAGGAGTTCAGGACCAGCCTGAGCAAGAGCAAGACCCGGTCTCTACTAAAAATAGAAAAATTAGCCAAGCATGGTGACACGTGCCTGTAGGCCCAACTATTCAAGAGGTTGAAGCAGGAGGATTGCTTGAGCCCAGGAGTTTGAGGTTGCTGTGAGCTATGATGATGCCACAGCACTCTAGCCAGGACGACAAAGTGAGATTCTGTCCCCTAAAGAGACAAAAAAAAAAATTATCTATATAACCAATAAACATATTATAAGCTTCTCAAACTTATTTTTAAAAAAAGAAAAAGTGTGATGTTAGCTACGGCCGGTGGCAAGCCCAGCTGAACCAGGCACATCATTGTGACTGCAAATTAGTCCATTTCAATATACTTGATATCATAAGCATTTTTTTTACATCTAAAATAGTTTAGGTCATTGCTTTCATTAGTGGTTCTTCACTAGGGAGTACTGGCATGTTATCAGAAATAAAATTCCCAGCCCACCCCATTGCTTATAGAGTTATAAACATCAAAACACATGAAAGATGAAGTTCTGTTATCAGCTGCAGCATTTGTATACATATTCAAGAAGACTTATATGTGCTATGTTAATCTTCTTTTTTTTTGTTTGTTTGTTATTTTTGAATATGTGTCACCTTCAGGACCCTTCGAAAAGTAATACGTGCAAAAGGTTAGTACCCCTTTAACGGACTTCCTTATGCTCAACATAATGTGGCAAGAGGTTCTTCCATAAATATACATGTATAACATAATTTACGAGTACAGTTTGACAGCTAATTCTTTTTCGGCCCAGATCTTTGCAAATTCAGTAGTGCTTTGACTTTAGCAAAGTGAATTTTTATAGTTTCAACCATTTTGAATGATCTGAAGGGTTCATGCCTTGAGTAATTATTAAATCTTGTCGTGACATAAATTGGAATCACACTAAGATTGCTGTCCATTGTGCATGGACAGGTAACTACTATTAAGTCAATCCCCCAGTTTCTGCAGCTTGGCTCAGCTATGTGATTCCACCAAAACTTAATCTCATTTACTCCTCACAGCCACCCTGTAAGGTAGGTGCTATTATTACATTTAACAGAAGAAAAAAGATTATTACAGTCATATTTAGGAATTTGGGTTTTCTCAGAGGTTTCCTTATAGTATATATCCCTTACAGTAATATTAGTAATGCAGTAGTATTAGCTCTGAAAGGTATAAATTACCATCCCTTAAGTGCCTCTACTTGAGATGACTACTGTGGGATCCTTGGCTTGTAAAAAAAAAAATCTCTGTAGAGATTATGTAGAGCCTAGTTCTTGTATCTTTTGGACATCTCGCTTAAAGTATTACCGAGAAAGGGGGAAAATTGTATCTTTTTTTCCAATAAAATGTCAGGTCTTTTATTTGGAGTAATGGAAAAAGTATAAACTATTAGTAAATTCAGTTTCCTTGATATTAAGGAAGCTAAATGCTGCATAAAGAAGTTAAAAATGCAAGCCACAAACTTGCAATAGACTTAATGCATAAAACTGATTAAGATTATTGTGCAGAATACATAAAGAATTCCAACAAATCAATTTCTAAAAAGTAACTCAGTGGAATATAAGAAAAAGATTTAAGCACTTTATAGAAGAGGAAACACAAGTATTATAAAAGCATGTAGAAAAAAGGGTTAATCTCATTCATCATCAGAGAGATATGAATTAAAATCATGGGTATATTTCATACCTATAAGATTGGCAAAAATTAAAATTCTGCAAGTAAGAGTTCATTAGGAAGTGGATCACCAATCCTCTTAAGCACTCCTAAGGTAATGTAAATGGGTATAATCACTTTGGAAAACAATTTGGTATTATCTAGTGAATTTGATAATATGACTAACTTTTGACCCAGCAATTCCATTTCTAGGGATATATTCAATAGAATCTATGCACAAGTATACCAGGAAATACATACAGGAATGTTATGTAGCAGAGTAGCATTATTCAAGGTATTCTAACATTGGAAATAACCCTAATATCTATTCATTAATAAAATGAATTAATAAATTACGGTTTGTTCATACATTGGAATACTACAAATACAATAAAAATAAATGAATCACAAACATGCAGTAACGTGAATGAATCTCCAAGAAGAAAATTCTGTCTTGTGGCATGAAGTTACTGTTGAACCTAAATCTCCTTTGGTGCAGTATAAATGTGTTTGCTCTGGCTCTCTCCTCAGTGGCAGTTAAGTATTAGGAAAGATTATGTGAGGATTAGTGGCCAGCCATTCTCAGTCTTTCGTACTGAAGAATTTTTCTTCTTCAGTGTTTTCTCAAGGATCCACTTTTGGACTCTTTAGTCTTTTGTGGTTGCTCTTCAAGAAGTCTGAATTCATTACTCTTATGGGAAGATTAATTCAAAGTTCCCATGTGCCATCTTGCCTGTTTTTAAAATAAAGCTACCTGGCTGACATTCTAAACTTGTCCAGAGTAGCTTTCTGCCATACTTAAGTGTATAAAGTGCTAGGCATGTTTAGGCAAAGAGAATCATTTTTATTATGGATCTCAGTTGGTTTTATTGGCGTGAAACCTTTTAATGCCAAGACTGCGTATATCTTAAGTAGAACGGCAGCCAGGTCATTTGGATCTTGGAAGAATTATAAAACTAGTGTGCTAATAAGCTGTGTTAAAGAAGAAGAATTTGAGGAGAATGGTTACTTTTCTGAAACTCCTAAGGGGATAGTCTCTAGCAATATTTTTTAAGCCAACTGTCATTTGCTTAACTCTGTTAGAGCTATCTATATGCTGTGTGTGTGTGTGTGTGTGTGTGTGTGTGTGTGTGTGTGTCTTATTAGTGTACAGACTTAACTAGAGATTAAGAGGATGGCTATTTCTTATGTATGAAGATAATATTAGTACCTATTTTATAGCGCTTTTATGAGAATTAAATTTTTAAATGTGAAGCAGCTAGAATATTGCTGATAGTCATATTAGATATTACTGCTTACAAATTTATAATGGGATAAATATATATACCTCCATACATATGTGAAATGGCACTTATATAATGTTAATTATAGAATATGTGAAAAACAAAAGCACAAATAAGAAAATGTGAAACTATCTATAATCCCATAACCCAGAAATAACCACTGTATGTCTTTGTAGAAACACATGGAGGTATGTGTGTATATCTTTTCTGAAATCATACTATTCATTCTGTTTTTAAACTTTGAAAAATACTCCAAGTATTTTTTTTCCAAGTACTGTTAATAGTTTCCAAGTACTGATAAAAGCCGTTAGATTTCCCGAAGTAAATCAAAACTCTTTGCTCATATAAATATTAACATGTGAATGCCGAAAGATAGGGAACATTTGGTATAAAACATTCACAACTTTATTTCTTTTTCCCCTACTTCTAGTTGCTGGGTATATTGGATTTTCCCCATCGTAGGCGCTGTTCTTTTAGGTTTCCTGTATCGCTACTACACGTCGGAAAGCAAATCCTCCTGAGGAAGCCTTGCTGAAGTCTGAAAAACACATCCACTTGGGAATGAAAACCAGAGACTTGCTTGGGGGCTGTAGTGATGCCCTCTCTTTGAATCCTGCCAGTTGTATTCTTCCCCCTTGGAGTCAAGACAGTTGGTTAGACATCCACCTCAGATCTGGGACCAGTGTCCTTCATCTCTCAGAGCCTTACACCCAGAGCACCTGCTCACCAGTCTGTGTCCTTGCCAGTGTTTGCTCCCTTCACTGGTTCCCACTTACATTTCAAAACTTTCTGTTCATAATTGCAATTCATAACTTTGTATTGACATTGCTTTTTGGTAAAAATGCCTGCTTTCCAATACTTTGCTCATTAGACATTCTTAACGGGGCAGCAGTCTAGTGTGGAAGCTTTTTTCATTTTTCTTTTAAGTAAATTTTTTTAAAAATTCTGATTTAACTCCATTGTTTATCATAAGGGGTTTAATTATGAAGTAAAAGTGTGTACTTATTACTTAAAATATAACTGCCAAATGATCTTGTTCCTTGTTTGTATTTGTTAAAACCACAAAGAACTGTGGACTTCTCTTGCCTCCCAAGCCAATGTAGCAGGTAGCTCTTCCCATCCAACTCCAGCCCCTTCACTTCCCAAATGGTGCTGGACAAAACTATGTTTCCCTGTTATTTCTTTGGGGTGGGAAGAGACATGGAAAGGAATGGGGATGAACTGGAGTGTTAGAACCCTGACAAATTCAGAGTAATCTTTCTTTTGAAAAATATTGAAAAATACTATTTTAGGATAGGAGTTTAGAAAAAGCATCAAAGCTTTCACTTTGGTTTGGCACCAGTTTCTAGCCAACTCTTTTTTCCCCCTAGCTATCTTTTATTGGTAAAATATAAATGTATAATTATGTCTGCAGAACTTTACCAAGGATTTTTGCTGCTTTTTAATTTATTGATTAGCAAGTTTTTGATTCTGTATTTTATAAAAGTAAGACTCCAGTTTGACCCTCTGTTTGCCCCAGTAAAATAACTTCCATATAAAATGGCATTTGAAAGTGGAAGATTGTGACAAGAGACTGTTTTCCATTGCATCTGTATTTTACCTCCATGGCTCCAACTTGTGGTTTTGTTCTGTTTTTCTGTTGAGAATAAAAAAAATGTAATTTTTTTTCTTGGATGTGTGTTTCCTTGAGAAGTAGGTTATTATTTGGAATTATGTTACTGTTTCTTATTGGTTTAGGGATTTCTCTGGCCTATTTTTTCCTCCATGGAAACACCTGAGGAGATAATACAATGTTTTCTGGCAGCAACTGTGGTGATTTTTCTCCCCTTCCTTTGAGAATTACCAGTCTGCTTGTGAGCCATCGTCATTTCTAGCAGGGAGCATCTTAGTTCAGGAAGGACCATAGATGCTGCTTAGTATCTCTTCTCTCCTTTCCAGCCTGCCAGAGATTTGCTGAGACAGGAAACTGCCCAGCAAACCAGTGTCTGCCCATGTAAACTATTTAAGAAAAAGTTCAACCCAGGTCTTGCATCCTGTGATTTAGCAGTTGAATGAATTCAGAATTCATCTAAATAATATTAACCTTGTACTTGCACACTTGAATATATTTTGGAGTAATTTTAGGGGATTTCTGGCTGACTTTTATTATCTGGAATATGAGTTTAGTAAAACTTGTATCTTCAGAAAATATTTGTACATGTTAGAAGATGCCACTTGAAGACAATTTATTGAACAAAAGTCTTTGGTTATTATATAATGAAAGTGGTGTGAGTTGATGCTCCTCCATTTAAAGGCTAGAAAGGGTTCCTTGAATAAGGATTGATACAGAATTACTGGAATAATTAAGTTGCATGATTACAGGGAGTACATTGGGGTAGAAGTAAAGAACAAAGGAGCAGTTAGGAGCTGGAAAGGGGACATTCGAGCTAAAACTAAGCCAGAAGATAACTTGAATCAATTGTAAAAGTGTGTTGGCAGTCTCCAAAATTGAATGAAAAACATCTGGCTTATAACAAATGTGAAAGAACTATAGTCTTAAGTAAAATCGGTGTTTTTGATATTTTTAAGGTAAACACCAATGAAAAGGTATGTTTTTCTACTTGGTATTGGTTTTCTTTTCCTGTTTATATGTAGACTTGTTTTTACCGAGAGCCGGAGGGAAAAAATTTTCGGGTTTTGTCACTACCATCCATGAAATCCCTCCAGTACCCAGGGCTGCTTTTGACGCTACTGCTAATGTGATGTCACTTTGTATTAGAAAAACCACTTTTGGGTCCATTTACTATTATTCTGCTGCCTACAAAAACAGCCAGGTAAAAGGTAGATTTTGTGTAAGAGTTTGCAGAATTTTCTCTAAACAATAAAGTAATACAGTACACAAGCCAAATCCATCAAAAAGGAGTTTTGTTTAAGAAGCAGACTTGAATTCTTGAAACAGTCTTGACATTAGTAGGTTGTGAAAACACCTCAGGAGAGCAAGGGAGCCAGTCCCGGTTGGCTGATGGTGCCCCCTGAAGCTGGTCTCCGGGGTGCTGGGTTGTTTATTCCCGAGGAAGACTAGCTTCTGCTGCTCACCATACTGTACACATAAGGGCTGGTGAACACAGAAGGAGCAGATGAGGAAAATCTTGTGCCACCAGAATAGAGGGTGTTAGTGTCCGCTTTCCAAAATTTCCTAGCCCAACTCTTAGGAATTGGTTTTGGTTTCCAAATGACTTCTACGTTTGTAAAGATAACAAAGTAGCATGGTCAAAGTTTACATTGTTTTTCGATCTCCTTGTGACCACTTAAGCAAAAACAAAACTCCATTGGAACCTATAATTTGGGCCTGTAAAGTTCTTTAAGCGGTTATCATAAATGCTTCTGTTGTGAAATAAGAACATTGTTGAGTTTATACTCATTTAGTTCCGACGTGGTGCAATGAAAAATGCTTCGCAGACCAGGTATATCATTACTTATGGTATCTCATGCTTTAAACTCTCAAGTGATATCTATCTGGTTAAATTCCATTTTAGGAGATTGAAATGCAGAACATTAATGTTCATTGCCTCCTACCCCAGGAGAAATGGATTCAGACATGTCTTGTCTCAACAAGAAATCAATTTTTTTTAAACCATCTCATTCTGTTGCCAAATATCACAGAAGTAATGGGGAGTTTAGTCACATTTGGCTGTTGTGCTCTGAAAGAGCCAAGTTTGGAATTTGTGGGGGTGATCTAGGAGGGAGGTTCCAAAGAAGCAGAGAGGTATTTGTCAAGTTACCTACCCTACATCCAGCATCTTACTCATAAGTTTTAGTAGCTGCTCTTTGCCCACGCCTGCGTCGAACATTTGCTATTTGGGCAAAACACTATTTCAAGTATTTAACTTCTGTTCTTTTTACTTCGCCCTCAACTGTGATCGAGTAATATTAACATTCCTTTTGGTATTCAATAATGGAATTTGTTTACCTATTTTATTTCAGCATATTTTGAACAAAGATCTTTGTCTCTTTCTGTTGGAATGTGCACACAATGAATGTTTGTTAGAACTACACACAATAAAGATACTGTTTTCCTTTTCTTGCCCTGACTATGGTGTTTTTTTTGTTTTTTTTTTCAGTGTGCTCTTTTAAGTAGAAGTGTTAGCTCTGTAATCCTCAGGTGTTCTGGAAGAAAAGAATTTGAAAAGCATGAAAGTCACGTGTACCGGTGCTAATATTGTATGTAGTGTTAACTTGATGGGGAGTTCTGTGGTTTTTCAGGGTTCTTGTCACAGCTCTTTGCTTGAAGTGTGTTGCTCATTTTATAATCGTGAGATACAAAAAATCAAGGCTTTTGCCATATTAACGTATGTGAAGTGGGAACCAGCTAGACAGGTTTGGGGATCTGTTTTTGCTGAAGCTATCTGGTAAAGAGAAGCCAATACAAAGTAATAATGTTTTGTTATCTGGAAGGCCAGTCTTCAAATGATTGTTTTTCTTGGAAATACCTAAACTGTTGGGGAAAATTAAACACTGAGATTGAAGTTCTAGTGACTGTGTTAATAAAACAAGGGAAATAAACCATTTTTATAATTACCTTTAAAACATACTGATAGCCTTCTAACATTATATCAGATTACTGTTGAGAGATCGTTCATTAGGGCTTGGTGGTTTCACTGTCACAGGAACTGGGGATTTCTAACAGGAAAAGAAAGCCCCATTCTTGTTACCAGTGTTTGGATCTCATGTTTAATCTTCAGTGCTAATAAGAGTTCATTATCACAGCACTTTCCCTGATCCTGAGTATTTTGGTAGGTGCTTGACAAATCCCAGTTTGATTCATGAAAGCCTGAGGTATAGAAGATTGTGATTCCAGTTATGTAAATTTAAGGTAAGAAATAACCACACAATCTGTTAAACTGCTGGTAATCGATAGCGTACATCTAACATTAATTAGCTACATAGATATCTAGACTATGTATTCCAGTGCCCACTCAGCTTAATCACATGTATACCAGCATTTTACAAACGAAATTCCTTTAGGAAGCATTAAGGAGAGATCAGAGTTGCTTTTCAGATGAACCGTGAGGATGCAGTTGTAGTACCGTCATTCATATGGCACCTACTGTGTGCCATCCGGTGTCTTTGGTAGTTTGCAAGCATTGCTGATCCTTACTCTTGCAGTGTCCTTACAGGGTAGTTGGGGGCATCCAGATTTTACCAGTGGCTCAGACTTGCCTGATGCCACGGAGCCGCTAAGAGGAGAGCCAGGGTTTAAACCTGTCTCAGTAGAGACAACTGGTTTGAAATGAACCTCGAATCCCTTGCAAAACAGTTTCTCGAAGCCGGTTAATGAGACTTTGGATTTGAACTATGTTGCTGCAAACAACCTTTGATAAGAGGCAGCCTACAAAGGGTAGAGAACTGAGGATGACTGATGAAATCCTGAAGCAGCACAGATGGGAAGTCTGTGTGTAACTTCACCAGTCTGAGGTCCCGGATAAGATTTAACCTGGAACAGTATGTGTAAGTATATAGTTTTTAATGAGAAGCAATGTTTGGTTGACTTAACTTTAGCCTCTTCTGAGTGGATCTCTTTGACTCTTGGAAGGATGAGAAATGGAGTCTTATACTTCATGCGTGTAACATAAGATTTGGAAACTGTTGTTTCCAGCTTTTGAAATTGTTATATCATGAAAAGGTGATTCAAGTTCATTGGAGAAAAAAACAACATAATGCAAATACAATGCTGTTTGTAACAAATGTAACAAGCGCTAGTGTTAAGGAAGTTTCATGTTATTTGCTACTGGTCCCAATCTCTGCAATTTAAAGAGTGATGTTAACTTTAGAACCACGTGGACCTGGAAAGAGAAAAAATTTTAAAAAAGAAACAGAACTCCAAGTGGTTTCATTTTCCTTTAAAGATGCTTGCTTTGGAGAGCTTTCTTTCAGTTTCCTTCTTTTTTCCTGTTTTTCAGAAATGGAAGTGGATTATTTTACAGAATAGAACGATGTTCATGGTAAAAACAAATCATCTCACAAACCCGCCCGCTCTGATTTAATTGCCTAAGAAATCTAATCAGGGACAAATAGAGAATTGGGAGAGGCTAAGCCATGGAGAGCACAGGAAAATGAGGTTTCTGAGACTCCCAGTCTGACCCCCTTCTCTCTTTTGTATCTTTTTTTCCTTTTGGATTTTTCCCCACCTCTCATCCTACCTCATCTTGCCCCTCTATCTTTGCCTTATGTTTTACTCTATAAAGGACAAGACGGTGCCTCAGCTGTGCTCGTCTTTTTTTTTTTTTTTTAAAAGAGACCCGATCTCGCTATGATGCCCAGTCTCAAGTGATCCTCCCTCCTCAGCTTCCCAAGTAGTTGGGACTACAGACACACAGCGTTGTGCCCGGCTACCTCTTCATTTTTAAGTGTGGTACAAGAATGTGCCCAATAGTCTGTCCTAGAAAACGTTTGGGAGAAATAACTCGATTTGTTTATAAACTGGATCATCTAAGTAAACTAGTGCATTTCTGTTTGAACATTTCTATTAGCCTTCATTTAAGGCTACATTCTACCTCTGGGCATTTTGTGTGAGTCAATCAATTTGCTTTTGTCTTAAATTTGTTCAAATTCGGTTTCTGAAATGCATGTGACTACTATGGTCTCTACAACTTATATGACCTTAAAATACTTGCCTCGGTAATGTGCTTATAAGGGTTCTGCCTTTCCAAGTATAACTAAACTCCCATAGGGCAGAAACTCGTTTGGTATTCCCTGCCAAGTCTCAGTATCTCTGGGAAGAAGAAATATTCCTCACTTAAAAACATCCACAACTGGCGCCGTGGCTTAGCTGGTTAAAGCGCCTGCCTAGTAAACAGGAGATCCTGGGTTCGAATCCCAGTGGTGCCTTGGGCAATTGAAGGCGGTATATTATTGGCTGGGCGCAGTGGCTCACACCTGTAATCCTAGCACTCTGGGAGGCCGAAGGCAGGGGGTGGATCGTTTGAGCTCAGCAGTTCGAGACCAGAAACAGCAAGACCCCATCTCTACTAAAAATAGAAAGAAATTAGCTGGACAACTAAAAATATATAGAAAAAATTAGCCGGGCATGGTGGCACATGCCTATAGTCCCAGCTACTTGGGAGGCTGAAGCAGGAAGATCGCTTGAGCCCAGGAGTTTGAGGTTGCTGTGAGTTAGGCTGACACCACGGCACTCTAGCCTGGGCAACAGAGCGAGACTCTGTCTCAAAAAAAAAAAAAAGTCCACAGGCTGGGTACGGTAGCTCACTCCTATAATCCCAGCACTTTGGGAGGCTGAGGTGGGAGAATGGCTTGAGGCCAGGAGTTTGAGACCAGCCTGGGCAACATAGGGAGACTTAGTCTCTCTGGGAAAAAAAAGAGCAGGCTTCTGTAGTCCCAGCTACTTGGAGGCTGAGGCAAGAGGGTTGCTTGAGCCCAGGACTGTGAGGTTTCAGTGAGCTATGACGACGCCACTGCACACTAGCCTGGGCAAAACAGCAAGACCCTGCCTCAAAAAAGAAAAAGAAAGAAGAAAAAAAAATGCATAGATTATTATTGTCATAGAGTAAAATTCAGAAACCTATTTAAGCTAACATAGGTAAAGTAGAAATTACTTGTTATGCATCAGTAATGAATGAGTATCTGATGGAACACAAGTGTAGAAAGCACAACTGGCCCTCATGCTACAATTCGTGAGCCAATATTGATACATTGTTATTAAATGCTTATTAATGAAAGCCCCTATTTGATGCATATTTCCTTAGTTCTTAGCAAATGTCTTTTTTCTGTACCAGGATCTCATCTAGGACATCACATTACATTTCGTCATCACGTCTCTCTCAGGTTCCTCTCTGCTGTGACAGTGTCTCAGACTCTCCTTGTTTTTGATGACCTCGACAGTTTTGAGGAGTAGATAAGTAGGATGGTCAGGTAGAATGTCTTGGAATTTGTCTGACGTTTTTCTCATGATTAGACTGAGGTTATGGGTTGGAGAGAGGAACACCACAGAGGGAGACTGCCATTTTCATCATATCATGTCAAGGGTCCACACCATCAATGTGATTTATGACTGTTCATGTTGACTTTGATCACCCGGCTGAGGAAGGGTTTATCAGGCTTATTCACTATACTTTCCATACTGTTCCACACCATGGGAGAAAGTCACTGCACAGCTCACACTTAAGGAGTGGGGAGTTACGCTCCATGAGGATAGAGTATCTATATAAATACGAATTTTCTGGATGGGAGATTGGTTGCACAGAATTTTTTTTTTTTAAGAGTCTGGGTCTCGCTATGTTGCCCAGGCTGGAGGGCAGTGGCTATTCACAGGTGGGGTCATAGTGCACGGCAGCCTTGAACTCCTGGCCTCAAGCGATCTTCCCACCTCAGCCTCCCAAGTAGCTGGGACTACAGATGTGTGCATCACTACGCCCAGCTCTGGTTTCATAGAATTTTACGATTGATTGATATTTAGATTATTCTTTGACCACCCTAAAAAAAATAGTAAGGGGTTTCTGATCGAACACAGTAGTTTGAGCAAACTTGTTTATCTCTGCTCCTTTCCAAAACCCACAGAATGATGACAGTAAGGAATAAAAAAAGATACAAATCTACAAAGACAAAAATGAGAGAGTACCTGGCAGTTGATAAAAGAGCCCAAGAAGATTTTTGGAAGATGGAAGGCCAATAAACTTAGAAGAGTGTAGAAAACAAATTTAAATGCCTATAGGGTTGGGGGTGGGGGTAGAAGCCAACGAGAATGAAATCATACTATACAGCCCTGAAAAACTCATGAATGAGAAGCACCATTTATTTACCTCTGAGAGTAGATGTTATAGAGCAGTTTGAAAACAGTAAGTTAGACTTCTTCCCTCCCCCACAACCACCTCCATCACTAACCCTACCCTGCACGAGTGGGCAACTCCCCCTCTCCCTCTCTGACAAAACTGGAGGTTTAATCCTGGGAAAAATTGAACCCAAGAGGACCTTGGTGTGAGGGCAGTGGTGAGTGTGGAGCTGAAAGTGGGCACCAGGTGGCATTTCATCCTCATTGCAGAGACCTCCCACCCCTTGGCTCCTAGA